TGAGGACATTATTCACACAACAGGTGAGGACATTCACACTACATTCACACAACAGGTGAGGACATTCACACTACATTCACACAACAGATGAGGACATTCACACTACATTCACACAACAGGTGAGGACATTCACACTACATTCACACAACAGGTGAGGACATTCACACTACATTCACACAACAGGTGAGGTGAGGACATTCACACTACATTCACACAACAGGTGAGGACATTCACACTACATTCACACAACAGGTGAGGACATTCACACTACATTCACACAACAGGTGAGGACATTCACACTACATTCACACAACAGGTGAGGACATTCACACTACATTCACACAACAGGAATATTAAATGGTTAACAGTTGGAGACGACAGAACAGGAAGTCCGACTGTTGTTGGTCCAAATATACGGTGTGTTATAACAGGAACCCAAAAAGGAACGTGGTGGGAGATAAAAGAGTGCTAGGACACAGAACTCTGTTCTTCACTTCAGACGTGGACATGACGTCACAGACCAAGTTTGATATAAATATTAGTTTGTTTAGTCCAGGAAATGAAAAAGTGACGTAGGGTTAGCTATGTCGAAGGAATGTTCAGCTCATTACTTGGTCCAGAAGAGGTCGCCGGAGTTTTCCTGTGTAACTCATTCGGAGGTGACGTCATTTGTTGAGAACCTGGATGTGATATATGAGCACACATACACTGGAAGCTGCGAGCGTCTGCTCTTGGTCTGCACGTCACCGCGAAGGCTCACTGTAGCCGCTAGAGGGCGGTGTGGTACTACAGTTCTAACAAACAAGTCAGGCGGATCTTTGTACATGGACATTTTATATCACATCATTGCCTTACATTAAAGCCCACCCCCATCATTTAGAACAGACAAACGTGTTCTTCTGATTCTGTTGAGGCAGAGCTCAAATGAATTGGAACTAATACCTGGCTATCATCACTAAAAGTGACTTAATTGAGTTCATAAACATGAACACCACACTGACGGAACCTTGAGGTTTTGTTAAGCCTGACCATGAACACAAAGCCTGGGTATGTTGGGCCTCCTTCACAGGACAGCCCCCGGGAGGAGTTCTGTCTGTGAAATCGGAGTCAACGAGTTAAAAACGTCACATGGTCAAAGACGGTCGTTAAAATAAAATCTCCATCAAAATAGGATTAAAGTTTTAGTTGGTGAGCGTCCGCACCAACGACTGGGAATAATAATGAAGGAATGTTAACACAGACGACCCTCACCTGTAGGTGGTGCTGTCTCTCAGCAGACTTTGTTGTACAATGAGGATCAAACACCCACACTTGTTGCCTATTGGGGTCACCTATAATGTGTACAATTTTCAAACATTACCCAGAAGTCTTTTCTTCAAAGATGGATAATAATAATCTCAGATTCTTTATTCCACAGTAACCAGTGACTTTCCCTGGTATGTGTGTGTTTATCCAGAGGCCCCCACCCCAGACCCCAAGAAGCCCCCGTCCAACGTAACGCTGTCTCCGCTGCAGAGGGAGGAGGTGGCCAGGCTGAGGAGGAAGCAGCTAGCCAACGCGGTCCAGTACATATGGGAGACGGGAGAAGACAAGTACATGTTACGATACTTTCACACCGGCTTCTGGCTCTCCTGTGAAAAACAGCATGAAGGTAGGTTCATGTTCAGAAAGGTCAGAGGTCAGAGGAGAATCTGTAGTGAAACACAGTTCCAGTAAAAAGGACATATGGCCAGTAGGGGGCATCTGTCCCTCCGTTTGATGTATCCATAGTTAGAGAGCTGCAGAAGTTCAACTTTCTCAGTTGTTGTTTTGAGATGTTGACGATGTTGGAGAAGGTCTGATGAAGATCTGATCCGAGGACGTCCCTCAGGACAACCCTGGCTTCAGATATCTTCTTCCTGATGTTTCAGGTGAAGACCAGGAAGAAAACTGTCGAAGCTTCATCGAGCTGACGCCTGGAGAAAGTCAAGGTGGGGTTTAGGACCTGGTCCTGGTCCACCAGCCCTTGTTTTAGTCCATCAAACCTGTCTCTGTCTTCCAGTCCATGTGTTGGTTCACGATGTCTTCTGTGCTCCACAGGTGTCCTCTGGTTGTCTGTGGTCAGTGAGTTCATGTACATCGGTCTTCTGTCCATGGGCTTCCTGCTCATGTGTGTGGAGTCCATGTGTCTGTGTGTCCAGAGGGAGATGAACGCCCTGAAGATCAACGCCTTCGCTGCCATGTGCACCGTCCTCTCAGGTGGGACACCACAAGATGAAGACGTCCAGGCCGCTGGGCTGCCGTCTTAATGCTCTCCTTCTTTTTTCATCTATCAGGAATGATGGGGATGGTGGCCCACATGATGTACACCACCGTCTTCCAGATGACCGTCAGCATCGGTCCCAAAGACTGGAGACCTCAGAGCTGGGATTACGGCTGGTCCTTTGCGTACGTTTTTTACAGTGATTCCTTCTACCAATCAGGACAGGGCAAAGAATGGCTCGTTGGTGGTTGGGGGGGTTAGAGGGTGAGGGGCGGAATGTTCGTTTGGTTGGATGGATGCTCTTTCTGTGTCTTTAACATCTCCTCCTCCTCCTCCCCCTCCTCTTCCTCCTCTTCACCAGGATGGCCTGGCTGTCGTTCAGTTGCTGTATGGCTGCTGCCGTGGCGACCTTGAACTCCTACACCAAGACCGTCCTGGAGATGAAGCACCGAGCCCGGGCCCGGCTGGAGGAGGCACGAGCTGCTGTATGTGCTCCTTCCTATGAGGAGGTGGTGCGATCTGGGGATTTGGGGGTCTACTCTGTCACAGAGATGATCCAGTTAGGCCACCAGGATGGCCTGGCTGTCGTTCAGTTGCTGTATGGCTGCTGCCGTGGCGACCTTGAACTCCTACACCAAGACCGTCCTGGAGATGAAGCACCGAGCCCGGGCCCGGCTGGAGGAGGCACGAGCTGCTGTATGTGCTCCTTCCTATGAGGAGGTGGTGCGATCTGGGGATTTGGGGGTCTACTCTGTCACAGAGATGATCCAGTTAGGCCAGCAGGGGGCTATGATGGATCCACTGTGGTATGGAGGGGTGGGCACAGCAGTCGGACCTCTGGCTTGTGGAGTCAGGCGTGCGCTGATTGTCGGAGGAGGAGGACTAGGAGTTGGAGGACCAGAGGTTGAAGGACTAGGAATGGGAATGGGTGAATTGGCAGCTGTGGAGGGAGTGAGGCCTGATGGGAGTAGGGGGGCAGTGGACGAGGGTCTGACTCTGGACCCTCAGGACCTCGTGATTCTGGGTAATGACATATGTGAAGACTGTGAACGTGAAATGGACCAGATGGTGGACGGTCTGTGTCCAGAGGACTGAGACAGACCTGAACCAGAACTGGATCCAAACTAGACCTGATCTCCAGGTGTTTTTGGAAAAATGAACTGTCTCTACTTTTTTAATCAGATGTACTTCAATTTCTTGACCACTGGGGGACGTAAAGGCTGAGTGTTGAGATTTTTGGTGGGAGATTAACAACATGAGAGCAGAAACAGTACCAGACAGAACTGTTTTATATAAGAAGAAGAGAAGAGAAGACCAGCGACAGATTTTATTCTGCGTCACAGAGAATTTTTGATTTGATTCAGTTTAAAAACATGAAATGTTTCAGTAAAAACCTGAAGCCAAAAATGTCAAAATGGAGTCAAATCAGAAACAAAACGAGTTTTAAAAAAATGATTTTTGAACGAAACCGATTTAAAAGTTTTATTTCAACAAATATATATATATAAAACAACGTTTGAAAGAAGATTTTAGAGAGGTGGGGGGCGGGGGCCGACAACTGTTCACACTCACATTCACACGATTGGTGGATTGTGGGAGGAAAACTGGAGAACACACACTCACACACAGGGAAAACATAAAAACCTGGGATTGAACCGCTTATCTGTTTGCTGTAAGGCAAGAGCGCTCACCAACACTGCCACCGCGTGGCCAGAAAATCAACACCTCCTTCATCATCAAAGTCAAGTGAAAAGGAACAAAATTATTTCAAAGCATATTTTTGGTGTTTCAGAATAAAATGTCGACATTTAAAGGGGAGTTGTGTTTTGTTTTTGTTTTTTACCTCAAACAGGAAGTGAAGTATGAGTTAACAGGAAGTAAACAGGAAAGAAGGGAACAGTGGCGTCAGATTATTTCAAGGGTTCATATTGAATCAGACGGAGGGCGGCATCGTTCTCCAAAACTCCCTTCACAAACTCTCCTTCTGCCACACGATCTGGGTCAAGAAGTCAGTGGTGATGTCAGAGGTCAAAGGTGACACGTTCAGGAAGAAAAAAAAGGAAAAAAAAGATCATTCAAACGTCAAACATCCAAACTTTTCTTCTAAAACATTATTAGCTGCTGACACAATAACAGGGAAAGTGAGCGCCACCACCTGGTCAGAACAGGTGGATGAATCCACTTTATCAAAAGTCACATATTTTAAATCTCTTCATTCATTCAAACCTTTCCACCAATAATAACAGAGCAGAGTCGCTAGACTACAGTCTACGGTCTGTAGAGTGTAGCCCACGGTCTGTGGACTACAGTCTGTAGAGCGTAGCCCACGGTCTGTAGACTACAGTCTGTAGAGCGTAGTCCACGGTCTGTAGACTACAGTCTACAGTCTGTAGAGCGTAGCCCACGGTCTGTAGACTACAGTCTACAGTCTGTAGAGCGTAGCCCACGGTCTGTAGACTACAGTCTGTAGAGCGTAGTCCACGGTCTGTAGACTACAGTCTGTAGAGCGTAGCCCACGGTCTGTAGACTACAGTCTACAGTCTGTAGAGCGTAGCCCACGGTCTGTAGACTACAGTCTACGGTCTGTAGAGCGTAGCCCATGGTCTGTAGACTACAGTCTGTAGAGCGTAGCCCACGGTCTGTAGACTACAGTCTGTAGAGCGTAGCCCACGGTCTGTAGACTACAGTCTGTAGAGCGTAGCCCACGGTCTGTAGAGTGTAGACTAACCCTTCCAACCCTTCTGCTGCTAACTGTAGAAACTTCCAGAAAGTCTGACCGCTGGTGGAAATGTTTGGTTCCTTCTTTCTGGGATCAGTTGACATTACCTTTTGTTTTGTTTTTTCTAATACTTTTGTGTCTGATAAAAGAATTCCGATCTTCTCACCGTCGTCACTCTTGTTGAAGAAGCTCCAGAGTTTCTGCGCTCTCTTTTCGGCTGTGTTTTCGTCTTCAGGAAGTTTGACCATTTCCTCTTTAGGGATCAGTTTAAAAATGGCCTGTCAATAATAATAATACAAATTAGGAACATGTTATTCAAACTAGATGGCGCTGTTTTTTGGTCTGCTGACAGAAAATCATCTGGGTTTTTTTTCTAATGTTTTTAATGTGACATCTCTGAAACAAACTGTTCTTTCAGGGATTAGTTTTAAAGTTCGGTCTTAAGAGGGCGGAGCTCTGTTCTTGGATTATATCAAGTCTAATCTTTTAAATTAAAAAGGAACCGCTGGGACAGACGGATAATCCCAGGATTCAATTCACCTGGAGATTTATTTTTATAAATGTTGAGTGAAATCAACAAACTTCAACTTCCTGTTAGCGTCCAGTCTTTCCACTTGAATGTTCAACTCAAACGTTTTAATGTTGGGCTCGGTCCAGTAGGGGGCGTGTGTCATCATCAGTGAACGCTCTTTATGTAGTGACAGAGAAATGAGTGTTAGCTCAAAAAGAACGTGAGGAACCGCAGGAGTTTAAGATGTTAAAAAAAAGTGTCTGTGGAACCGAAAGTCAAACCTTTAACACTCTTCTGTTCTATGCTGATGATACTGTTGTGTTTGCAGAAGTTTCCTAAACTCACCGTACAGATTTCTTTGACCTCAGATTTGGTGATGTACCCGTTTTTGTCAACATCAAACAGTGAGAAGGCCCACTCCAGTTTTCTGGTGGTCTTGCCCGTCGACGTCAGGTGGAGAGCGATGATGTACTCCTTAAAGTCCAGCGTTCCGTCATCGTTGGTGTCGAAGGAGCGGAAAACATGCTGAGCGTAGGAGTTCACCTCGCTGTCTGGGAAGAACTTACTGTAGATGTTCTGAAAGTCCTCTTTTGAGATGCGACCCGATGGACATTGTCTCTGGAAGTTTTCGTACCACTGCACGATCTCTGTCTCCGAGAACTTGGTCTTGAGCTTCAGATCCTCCAGGATCTCCTTAGAAACTGCACTGCTCTTAGTGTTTCCCATGGTGGTCGTGGTGCGAACGCACTGCTCTACGTAAAGATGTTCTGCTTCAAAGGCTCAGAGAGGAGAAGGTCTAGGCAGGATCTTTTTCTCCCGCCTCGGCTTGAATCCGTCTGCAGTCAAAAGTCCTGTGGGCAGAGGATGAGCTCATTAATCCAATCAGGTCTCGGTACATCCGACTGAACGTGTCACGAACAGAGTTCTCCTCAGGTCACAGACCAACTTTGAATATGTGATGTCTTCTGACTGACTTTTAAGTGTTTTATAAGCACTGATGACCTTTGACCTTTGGAACGTTTTGTCACTTTTTAAAAGCATTTTTGATAGATAGATATTTACTTCATTGAAGCAAGTCCTCAAATGAATATAGATATTAGAAAAAGAAAGAGAGCAAATGTTTGATTTTAAAAACCACCTCTGCAGGTTCTGCTTTGAGTGGTGAGTAAAGATTTCTTACCTGTGAGCTAACAGTTTAGTCTTTGACTGCAGAAAAGATGTCGGCTGTCCGAGAAGATAAGTTGATAAACGCCAAGATCACGTGTAATGCGACAGTTGGACTTCTTTGATTGCTCCTCTGAATGAAGATCTTGAAGAATTTGGTTTGTGAACTAAAATCTCTGATTTTCTCCATGGACTTTGGTCTGAACTAAAATCACTGATGTCTGTGTGACATTTACAGTGAGTGATTTTACATATTTTAATTAGAGTTTAATGAAGATTTTAAAGAACATATCTTAGACTTTGAAGATTGTTCTAACCCATCCTCCTCCTCCTCCTGTTATTTATCCGGCTCTTTCTTCTTTTTTTGGAACAGAAATCCGAAGGAAGTGGATTTGTTTAATGAGGGACTTTATTCATTGGCTCCTGCTATAAAACCACTTCCAGGAAAGACTATATGAGGAAACTGGGATTAACCCAGAGGAGGTGCTGACGGGAGGCCATGTTGGACTAATGGAAACAAAACCCCAGACACTTAGAATGGATTTCATATAAAAATACTTTAATTGAATTGCATTACATACTGAATGTAAAAACAACAACAACAACAGAGGTGAAATGTTCATGTTTTTAACACTGACGTAAAAGTTCACACATGTTCAATGTACCGTAACCCTCAGTGGCGGCCCCTGTAGGAGCGAATGTGGCGACTCAGGTTGCGAGCTAGACGGTCCACTGCGCTGCCAATGTGGCCCAAGTCCTTCCTAGAAGTGAGGCCTTCGATGTTCCCGCTGTACCACAGGACCCACCCGCCTAGTGACATCAGCACCAACAGAGCTCCTGCATCACATGACATCACGACATCCAGTTTAGATCCATATTAAAGGAACAGACAGCGAAGAAAACGATCACAACAGTATTTAATACAATCTTTCTTTTCTTTTTAGTTTCTACTCATTTCCAACTTTAGCACAGCCATAGTGAAGATGTCAGTGTCCCCTGTGAAGAGCGCCCTCTGCTGGCTCACACCGTCTGCAGGTTAGATACATGAACAAACTGTTGGTCTTACCAGTGTAGACCAGCAGGTCTCCGAAGTCCTGTCCTCTCACTTCCAGGCGAGCGAACACTCCTACCAGCAGGGCGGCGCCCCCCAGTAAATCCATCAGTACAGCAAAGGCCAACGCTATTTTGCAGCGAGACAAGTCGTCACACAGCGCCATCGACAGGAGGCTAAGGGAAAATCAAATGAAAAACATTTGTCGTCTGTTCACACACCGTAACCAATCACGACTGCTGTGACCGCGAAGTTTCTCCGTATGTTGTGAACCGCACGGACTACGTCACAACCGTAGATTCGCTATGAAGTTCAGACTTTTAGGAACAAAGTTTAGCTCCTTTTTGAACAAGAGCAGTTCTTATCCGCGTCGGATTAAATGATTGACTAGTAAAAGGATGACGACATCACACGAACTCCGTCGACATATTCTGCTCTCAGCTCACGTACTCGACTATGAGCTGATGAGAAAACACTGTTTTTATTTGGACCAGAAACTATTTCATTGCGGTGACGTCACTTACTTGTTTGTTTCCGACGGCGAACTTGTTTATTTCGTGTCTTTTCCTTTTCCTTGTTTGTTCGTTTGTTTCTTTCCCGTTCCTCTCTTTACGTCCGCCCTCACCTTAAACTCCACCTGAGATGTTCCACCCACTTCCGGTCAATCTTCTTCTCTGATTGTCGCTCCAACATGAAATGTCGCCACCTGTTAGACTGGAGTTTCAATGACACCGTTGGGAAGTGAAAAGGTTGTGGTTTGGAACACGAATTATTCTGAAATGTTGTGAACGTGTGTGTGTGTGTGTGGGTGGGTGCCGTGCAGTGTTGCGCGTGCGCTGGTGCTTGAGCGTTTTTACATGGTGACGTCAGAGTAATCCGCTGTAAACCGCGCACCTGTGGTCCTTCACTCTGTATTACCCACGTATAAACACGAGTTCACACGGGCGACCAGGTTTAACCACGTTCACGCCGTTAATTACCCCGACATAAGTGAGTTTGACCGAGATTAACTGGCGTGATACCGGGATTATCACATAATCCTGAGTTTATGACGACCATGAATCCAGCCAACAGAGAGGAGGGTGAGAATCCTGCAGGTAAATCGCGTTTCCACTCGTTAGATAGAAACGTTAAACAATTCGTCCTAATCCTAATCCGTTCTGTGGATTTGAAAGTGAAATAAACAAAAATAAATAAATAAATAAATAAAAAAAATGACGTGAATAAAAATGAAAGAACTGTTTTAATCCGTTCTGTTTCAGGGATGTGATTTGGTTCTGGTTGTGGACAGAAACCGTCCTCTGATGTCGGTTGACATTTGTCCACTTCTGTCTGTGTTTCTGATGGATTCAAACACAAGTCGTAATCCCGCTGAATTATCCAGTCCCGCTCACTGACGCAGACGTAGTAATAACTGATTAACCGATTAGGTTAGGAAACGAAATGTTTGTGTCCTGAATGTGAAAACATTAAGAGTTACACGGCACCAACAGGTCATCACAGCATAGAGATTAGGATTAGAAGAGATTCAAATGATCAATATTTAACCAATGGGACAAACAATTACAACTGACTCCTCAGATTAGATCAGATTACGTCAGATTAGATCAGACAGTTGTTTCTTCTCGGGTTAGGGTTAGATTAGATCAGACAGTTGTTTCTTCTCATGTCGGATTATTAAATAATAAAATCATTAATGAGGCCCGTTGGTCAGACTGGAACAAAAAAACCTGACCTGGTCCTGTTCCCGCTCCTCAGAAGGATCAGGACCAGCAGGAGAAGGACCAGCAGCAGGTGGTCTGTACTTGGACGCATACGAAGTGTCTTTTCCACTGGAGCACAGTGTGGACAGGATGTCCTGCTACCATCACCTGGGCCAAGGTCAGCACCTGATGGACGGTACGTGTGATGATGATGATGTTTCTGTCATAGTTCCTGCCTGATGTCCAAGGATGTGTTTTTAGCTCCTCCCTTTTCTCAGCAGAGCCAGTGGGTGCAGAGCCCCCTCCCCCTCCTTACAGCCCCTTTATCCTGGTGTCCAACCTCCGCGCTCACCTCTACGTGGCTCTGGAGAAGAACAGCTGGCTGCAGAAACGGATCCAAGAGCTGGAGGAAGAACGCAACTTTCTGCGCTGTCAGTTGGACCGATTCATCATCAGCATAAGGAGCCCGGAGCCTGGTATGGTCCAAAAACACACAGACCAGGGTCCACAGAGAAGCAGTGATGGAGGCAGATGACCCCTGACCCTGCATGGTCAAGGGTCAGTCAGGTCATTGAAGTCAGCGCACAGGCAGCTGTTGATGAACTGCTGCCTCCATCAGTACCAGTAGAACCTCAGAGCAGTCACTGGTCACCTGACTCTTCTTCACTGTCGTCCATCAACAGACTGTTACACCAATGCCAAACGCAGCTTCAAAGCCCCGCCCCCCTGTCCGGTGCCTCCATCTTCCCCAATGACCACCAGGTCCGGGATGACCCTCAAACGCCTGCAGGGGACAGGACGGCAGAGCCGTTACAGAGGCCACGCCCATACCCAGACCATCAGTGTTCCAGGTGAGAACCTGAGGTGGCGCTGTCTACCTCTGTCTGTGCTGTGTTTCCTCCATTACTGACTGATGTTTGACTGTCTGCAGTGAAGCAAGAGTTCCACTTAGAAGAAGAGAAGTTCTACACTGAGAATGAGTTCATGGAGGATGAGGAGGACATGGAGGAGGAGGAAGAGGAGGAGGAGGACTTGACAGCAGAGAGGGGTGTAAAGAAGAGAGGAGGAGGAGAGAGGAGGATGAAGATGAGGAGGGTCTTTACCATCACTCACAGCAGAGAGAGACAGAGAGGTGCAGCTTCTTCTTTGGTCTGCTGCCAGCAGGGGGCACCATGGCTGATCATCTTACCCGACAGCTACATAGCTAATATACGTTTCTGTCATTTATTTCCTTTCTTCAGTCAAAGATCCAGAGGGAGTTCTGATTCGCTACAAGAAGATCCTGTCCACCTATCAGAGGGTCCGTAGCATGTCCCGCGCTTTCCAGATCCACGGAGTGGACCGAAACACCATGGCCTCCACGTCTCCCATCGCCGAGCTGCTGCTGGTCGCTCCCGACAAGGTCTGAACAACACCGAACCTAGCCTAAACTAACCTAAACTAAACTGAACCTGTTCTAAACTAATACAGAGCCGAACTTGTTTAAACTTCTGTTGGATTTTGTCAGTGTCTGTCTGTATATACGTCTGTATATACACGTGTATATATACATAGTATATATACACAGAACCACTCTGTAGTGATGCTATATTCCTGCAGGTGGCAGAAGTGGGTGAATTTGAGGCCTCTAAGGAGAAACTGCTGGATTACGCTCGAAGATGCTACAGGATGATGGATGAAGTGACGCACGCAAAAGTCCAGAGCCTGAAGAAGATTCACAAACTGTTGCCGATCTCGTACCGCTTCAGGAACTGAGCCCAAGCGTAATCCCAAATAAATACTGGTCCCGACCTTAGATGTGGACCAGGTGTACGACATGAGTGAAGTTTATTTTGTTAACAACACGAAACTTTAGTTTTCTGTAGGTTATGGATGGACAGTCTGTCTGTCACCAGTCCGTTCTGTTCATTTCTGTTAGGGTTGGTTGTTAGGGTTAGGGTTTCTAACCACTCACTGTGGGGTTTTGGTGAAATGTATCAAATGAAGATGGTGATTTGTTCTTGTATGAAACCTGAGTTAAAACCAGTTAATCAATAGAAGTCTTTGTGTTTTGACTGTTACCATCCTTTCATCTGTGGATCCTTGTTAGTCATAGAGTTAACAGATTAAAACCTTTGAAAAACCTTGAAAGTACTTGAAATTGGCCTGCAAGAACACTGCTCTCCGGGCACTTGTGCTGCCCACTGCCCACTGATGGCTAAAACACAGCAGTGACATGTTGTGATCAGTGGGCTGTGTCTCCGGTGTTCTCGTTCAAATGTATTACGTCGAAGATTGTTTTTTTTTTGTTGCTGTGATTGTTTTTGTACAAAATGAAGGAAACTGTAACTCGGTAAATGACGCGCGAAAAGCCACAGATCAGAAGAAACTGCCGAGATTTTCTTCAGCTCTTCGGCACCCTCCTCTGGCCGTCGGTGGCACAGTCAGACCGGAAGTACTAAAACAGCCTGGTTGTGACGTTGGTGAAACAAGCGACGAGTCAGACCACAGCCACAATGAAGAACCAAACGAAAGCGGGGCCGGCCTTCAGTGAGCTGGGCTGATGTTAGGGGGCGGGGCTTCTCGGCGGCCATCTTGGTTGTGCAGAGGTGATTGTTTAGGGAAAACTGAAGATTTCCTGTAAAATCCAACTTTTTAGAAGAGCTGTGTGGGAGTAAAAGAAGGTGAAGAAAAATAACCGTGAGCCAAAAAAAAACAAACAAAAAAAAAAAACCCAGGTGAGTGGAGCGGAAGTGATGAAACACTCAGCCTCCCCCTCTTTTTCTCTTTTCCTCTGGACTTGTTTCTCTGGCCTCGAACAGCTAGCTCACCTTCGCCTCTTCCCGCTGCTATAAATAAGGCCAGAAAAGCTAAATAGGCCCGGACAAAAACACCGAGTGAGAATCGGGTCAGAACCACCGAGGTCTGTTTACTGAGGCGGCGTGGCTACGGCTACAGCTACATCATCATCATCATCGTCTTCTTCTATGTATATATATAGTTATATATATGAACTGCACGGTGCAACAATACACGTCTCTGTATTGAACCGTTCATTACCCTGGTCTGTGTTTTCTACGCTATAAATGTAGGTAATGTTATATTTATTTCATCAACTCCTGACGATGCACTCAGTGGGTCTGAGCTCGACTACTTCACCTTAGGCTGCGTTGTGGAGCGCAGATCCAGTCAGCTGTGCCCCCCCCTCCCCAACTATGGTGATGGGCTAAAAGAATAAAATAGAATAGTCTTTATTGTCATTGTAACACGGGGGTACAACGACTCTGAGCAGAGTTCACTTTTGGTGTTGAGTCACAGTGACAAGTCCACTTTCACTGACTGTGTGTGTGTGTGTGTGTGTGTGTGTGTGTGGTCTAACAGACATGTGTGTTTGCTACTCAGTGACAGTGACGGCATGAAGCTCAGTCATGGCTGATAAGAGGAAACTTCAGGGTGAGACTCTTCTGCAGAAACTGAAACTGTCTTCATGTTGTTAGGGCGCCACCTGCTGGTTTTGTTGATATTCAGTTTGGACCATTTTCTTCTTGTTTGTTCTGTGACAGGGGAAATAGATCGATGTCTGAAGAAAGTTGCAGAAGGAGTGGAGCAGTTTGAAGACATCTGGCAGAAGGTCAGGGGTTCGAGTTCCCCAAAAGAACAAGAACCTTCTGTGTTGAACTCACTTTGATCTTTTCTTCTTCTGCAGCTACATAACGCAGCCAACGGCAACCAGAAGGACAAGTATGAAGCAGATCTCAAGAAGGAGATTAAAAAACTACAGGTACACACACACATACACACACACACACAGTGTGTATCCTCATCTTCCTCACCCTGATCTTCGTCTTCTGGTCTTCAGCGTCTCCGTGACCAGATCAAGACTTGGGTGGCATCCAATGAGATCAAAGACAAGCGTCAGCTGGTAGAGAATCGTAAGCTGATTGAGACGGTGAGCAGAAGTGAGGTGAACACACTGCCCCCTGTGGAAGGAGAAGTGATAAGCACATCTCATCTCTGTTGGTTTGCAGCAAATGGAACGTTTCAAAGCCGTGGAGAAAGAAGCCAAGACCAAGGCCTACTCTAAGGAAGGACTGGGTTCGGCCCAGAAGGTGGATCCAGCTCAGAGGGAGAAGGAGGAAATGGGGGTGTGGCTTAATGTGAGCAGCAGGATGACATCATTATAAAGAGATAGAAGATTAATGTTTCAGAATAATCACTTCTTACATGTAAACAGCATGTTTTTGGAAGGACCCAAATTGAAAATTGAGTTTTATTTTGAAAGGACACAAACCAGAGTTGTTTTTGTCCATGTTGGTTTTAAGAACACCATCGACACACTGAACATGCAGGTGGACCAGTTTGAGAGTGAGGTGGAGTCTCTGTCGGTCCAGACCAGGAAGAAGAAAGGAGACAAGGAGGTGAGTGGGCCACGACCTCTGACCCCTCCTCCTGTGGTCAAATTCTGGATCTGTCAAACCTGCGTTGTTTTTTAAGTTGAATTCTCAGAGAATTCAACTTCAAAAATGTGTGAAAGGAGATCAGGGTCAAAGGTCAAGTAAAATGCACAAACACAAACAGTGGAAATAGAGTTGTCACCTGAAACATGAAGAAAAACCCGAGTGACAGAGTGAAGGGATTAAATATTGAAATGTGAAGCTGTGCATGTGATGCGTTCAGGCACTGTGTGAATTTGCGTTTGTTTTCTCTGTAAATTCTTAATGTGTTTTCTTGATGATTAATTTATTTACGTCAGTATTTGTTAGTCTGAAATAAAAAAGCAACAACATAGCAGATAAAACAGGAAGTTGATTCAGAGACTAAACTGAGGTGTGTTTGTATTTGACCCCCCCTTCCTACCCTCCCCCCGTCTCCTGTAGAAACAGGAAAGGATTGAGGAGCTAAAGAAGCTGGTGGAGAGACATCGGTACCACGTCAGGATGCTGGAGACCATCTTGAGGATGCTGGACAACGACTCAGTGCAAGTGGAGGCCGTCAAAAAGATCAAGGTTGGCTGTAATCTTCATCATCACCAAACATCACCATCATCATCACCAAACATCATCATCATCACCAAACATCACCAAACATCATCATCATCATCACCAAACATCACCAAACATCATGGTCCCTGGGCTGTAGAGGCTTCTGTTTCATCTGTCTCTTCTTTCTTCTCTCAGGATGACGTGAATTATTACCTGGACTCATCACAAGATCCATACTTTGAGGAGAACGAGTTCCTTTATGATGACCTGGACCTTGAAGACACTTGTAAGTGGAGACCATGAACCAGGACTTCTGGTCTCTTTTGGTCCAGATTGGTTGGTCTCTGATTCTGCTGATCTACTTCCTACAGCTCAGTCTCTGGTGGCCACGTCTCCACCTGGACACTCTCACTTAGAGGAGGAGATCTTCCAGCACTCCAGCAGCACACCTACCTCCACCACCTCATCCTCGCCGACCCCCCTCTCACCTGCCACCTGCGCTACCGTACGAGACCTTCTAACAAGTCTCTGACAGATATATATATATATTTATATATCAGGGGTCCCCAACCTCTGGTCCAGGGACCGGTGCTGGTCCGTAGGTCATTTGGGACTGGGCCTTAGTGGGACACTGAAAAGAAGTACTTAATCTGGGAATGTTTTGAAACAACAGGTCAAAGGTTGTTCTGATACTAACAGAACTAAGTCTAAAAGAGGTTTGTTTTGAAAAATTCTTCAATAATAGCCTGGTATTATATATGTGTATATGTATTTGTATTGGTATGTGTGACTGTTTGATCTCATTCAGAATATTTTGAGTTCAGTTCTAACTCATGTGTTTTTGTTCCGTCAGGAGAACTCAGAGGACGATAAGAAGAGAGGACGACGTTCTACTGACAGTGAGGTGAGTCAACTACTCTGTGATTGGCTGTTCATGTGGGACAGGCCGTCACTCTATGGTCCCAGACTGAATATATGTGTCAGTATATACTGTACATGTGTGTGTATAATATATAACTGTACATAATGTTATATTTATTTGATCAACTCCTGACGATGCACTCTGTGGGTCTGGGCTCGACTACTTCACCTTAGGCTGCGTTGTGGAGCGCAGATCCACTCAGCCGCGTTCCGTCTTGTTTCTTTTTTCAGTCTCCTTTGAATAACGGAAACCCCTCACCTTCATCGTCCTCCTCGTCCTCGTCCTCCGTCTCAGGTCCCACCTCCTCCTCCCTCGTCTCCATGGCGTCCAGTGGAGACGTGGGGGTCATCATCTGTAACACCTCAGCCGGCAGCTACGGCAGCGCCACCCAGCAGCTTCCACTGCAACAACAGGCCATACCCTCAGTTAGTTCCCCCTCCTGTGCAGCTCCTCCCACCTCCACCGACCATCCAACCTCCTTCATCGACCATCCAACCTCCTCTGCCTCGTTCACACACAGTGCCAGCACTCAGGGCCCCGCCACCTCTAACTCACAGGCTCCTTTAGGGCCACCAACCTCCAACAGCTTTGGTCTAGCTCTGGGTATGGGCCTGGGGAAGAGTCCCCCCTCCAGTCCCATGTCCGGGGGCCTGGGTTTAACAGGGATGCCGGCGTCCCTGAGTTCCCTGTCTGGTCTCCTGTCCAGCTTCACACCGTCTCCATACGCTCAGGCCGTGGCCTCAGGGAACATGGTTCCTCTGGGCGGAGCCAGCACCTCCACCAGCCTTAAACCCGCCGGTTGCAAGAGCAGCAGCATGGCGGTTGGCGGACCAACCTCTTCATCGACAGGACTGTTGGGCTCGACCGCTGGTCCCATCGGCTCAGCAGTTCTGAGTATGGGCTCCAGCCAGACCATGGTCCACGGGTCTTCTCTAATGTCACCCAGTCCTGTAGGTGGTCTCGCACCAGAAAGTGGAGTCGGAGTCATCGGTACCAGTGGAGGCAGCTGCTCTGGAACACAAGGAGGCGGAGTCATCGGAGGATCCTCGACCCTCTCTGTTCGACCTGCAAGTGAACAGAAGCAGAACGGAGGAACCAGTGAGTACCAGTTCCCCTCGACCAAACTTCCAGATGTGGATTATCAGATGTCCGGGGTTTTAAAAGGCCATGGTTCTATGTTTGTCTCCACCTGGTGGCAGGTTACAGTGCGGTGGTTGCTGACTGCGTAGCAGACGTGTCCCTCAGAAGCAGCAGCCAGTCGTTGTCTCTGACCTCACCAACCAGTCAACAGTGTGTATTCACAGACGTAGATCTTTTTTTTTACCACTAGATGTCACTGATTGTCATACGGTGGACTTAAAATGACAGCATTAGGAGTCAGGATGGTCGATAGTCCCTCTCTGACTCTGCCCTTTCTGTCTGTCTGTATCTCTGACTCCCTGCCTCTCTCCATGTCTGTCTCTCTGTCTCTGACTCTCTCCCTGTCTGTCTTTCAGTAAGGACACCAGTCCAACTTTACTCGGTTCCATCTCGTTGTCATCCAGTTCTTCGTCTCCCTCCTACAGTGAAGCTAAAGCAGTCGGTGCTAGCAGTCTCCTGAATGGACCAATGTCCTTCTCCAAGTCTGCTGACATCATCAAGGTGAGACAATCAGACTCGTTGTGAGGGAGGAGCTTAAATCTTTCCAGTTTTTTCTACAAAGCACTGGGATGAGGTTTTTAACAAACTCAAACTTTTTTCTGACCGTATGATGTGCTGTTTTCCCATGATCCTCTGGGTGTGTCTGCAGCCTCAGGAACCGCTGTGCAGCCTTAAGTCCATGGCTGAGAGAGTAGCCCTCATTTCAGGGATGGAGGGGGATGTGTCGTCACTGCACCTGACTCCAGGTAAGACCTGCAGGTGGACACTGGAGGTGGACCGGAGAAGGTCAACATAACACAAACTGACCACTGGAGGCAGCAGTGGACCAGCAGCTTCTGGTTCTTCTCCCCATCGTTTTCCTGGAGATCCTGACCTTACCTTGTCCTCCTCCTCCTCCTCTTTGTCTTTCTCCTTCTAAGCCCTGTTTCCTAGCAGCAGCGCCACCAACAGCGCTATGGTGGTGTTGTCTTCACCAGTTCTTCCATCAGCTCCTCAGTCGTCTCTGTCCGAGGTGAATGTCCCTCCGTCTCTGGGGGTCTGTCCTCTGGGTCCGCTCACCCTCTCCAAAGACCACCAGTACCAACAGGCCATGGAGGAGGCGGCGTGGATACACATGCCCCACCCATCTGACTCTGAGAGGATCAGGTGATGTGGGACTTCCTGTGGTGGTCAGACCATGACATGTCTTCAGTGTGACCTGACTCCTTGTGTCCTTCTGCTGACCATCTGTGTTTCTTCTGCGTCCTCTGCTTCTACAGGCAGTACCTAATGAGAAACCCTTGTCCCACACTGACTTTCCACCAACAGGTGCCTCCACCTCAGTGTGACACGGTGGAGTTCTACCAGAGACTGTCCACCGAGACACTCTTCTTCATCTTCTATTACCTCGAGGTAGGTCTGTGGAGCACACCAGAAGAAGACCAAGAGCTCATGTTGACCATGTTCCCGTGGACTTCATCTCCACTGTGTGTTTGCAGGGAACCAAAGCCCAGTATCTGGCAGCTAAAGCTCTGAAGAAACAGTCCTGGAGGTTTCACACCAAATACATGATGTGGTTCCAGAGGCATGAAGAACCCAAGACCATCACCGATGAGTTTGAGCAGGTTCATCTCCCAGAACATTGGTCTTTCTGATACTGTCATCCAAAGACTACAGATGTTTCCTCTTACTCCTCCTCTTTCTTTCCCTCCTCCATCTTCTGGACACTGATGTTCCTCTCTGTTCTTAGGGAACCTACATTTACTTTGACTATGAGAAGTGGGGCCAAAGGAAGAAGGAAGGGTTTACCTTTGAGTACCGATACCTGGAGGACCGGGACCTGCAGTGACCTGAGGAAGGCCTGGAGAGATCAGAGACCAGTTGGACCATGGACATGGTCCACAGAAATGGAAGGCTGATCCAGAGGGCTGCAGTTTTCAGTCCAGACCTGATACTGGCTCAAGTCCCAACCTGTTCTAGGTCCAGGTTCAGACATTATTTGAATTCAGTTATTTGGACCAAAGATATTTCGGCCTTCTTCCAACCCGACCAGTTGTACCAGAGGTCCAGACCATGACCAGTACCTTTTGTGTTTTTCAGAACCATTGAAATATATGTGGTCATTTCATTAGGAACAAATGATCCAATCACACAGCTCCACCAGAACAGAGGCCAAAACCATTCCAGCCCCCACCAAGTCCAGGGGCTCAGGACCCAGAAGAACCTCATAGTCCACCTGGTTCACACTCACCACAGCCTGGACCTCAGTCTTTAGGGGTCCGGTTCTTGAAGTGGTCTTAGTACTAACTCAGAGTTAGTTAACTCCGTATTAGAGGGAACTCTGATCCGTAGCAGTTTTAAGGTCCTTCAGTCTGACTTAATCAGTCAGTAATCAATATACAGGGCGTGTCCGTTTTTTGAGGAGTCTGTGACGTCACAGCTCAGTTGGTGAGAAGAAACTGACGTCAGGAGAGAATCCTGAGACCACGACTGGATATTTTAGAACTCCCTTTAATTAGTCTTTTATTAGAGCGTTTCCGTTTTTCTTCTGTTATAAAACTGATTCGATTCTCCGCCTACATTTCATTTGTTAAACTCATCGTAGTCGTGCTCTTAGCTCGGAGCAAATACATCATATTGCATTTCATTTTCACCAACAGTCGTTTCCTTTATGACGTCGGTGATGCTGGGAACGTATTGGAGGTAACGGTGTGTCGATGTGGGCGGAGCCTTGGTGTTGATCTGGAACACAGACCTCCAGCAGTGTTAGTGTTAGTTTGACGTTGGTCCATCACTACAGCAACACGTCAGCAAAGAGACTGATCTCCAGTAGGGGGCACCACTCAGACTTAACTCAACTCAGGCTTCAGAGAGCTAATTGTAATCCGCTTTTGTGAAACCGGAAAGTCAGAGTTGGACAGCCCCGGCTTCAGGAAGCCAGAGCTGTGGCATTAACTGTTTCGTTAGTTCCGTGAGTCGGCTTCAAGAAACGGACCCCGGACCAGACTGAGCCAAACCTGAATCATGAAGAACCATCAGGATTATATCCAAACAAATATGTGAGATGGAGTCAGACAGAACCTGTGGTTCTGCTGGTTCTGGTTCTTCTGAACCCACTTGTTAGTTTAGACCTATGTTTTTCTAACCCTAACCTGAGAATGGGGGGAGGGGCAAAATGTAGTGGGACTTTCTCTGATCCAGGCCCGGACTCTTTCCACAGATCTTGATGTTCTTGGAGCAGAACCTGAGTTAGCTCGTGAAAATAGGTTCCATGGTTATCAGTGATAATGTCCTGGATCAGTTCTGAGTAAGTGGATGGGGAGCTGGGTTTATGTCAGGCTGGACCCCCCCAGGTCTGAGGAGCTGCGGTGACGCCGTCCCCCTGGACCACCGTTTAATTCAGGGAATCTGAGAATAAAAGCACCAGCACTGGTCTGAGGCTAACAATGAAGCTAACGGACCAACGACAGTGACGACGACAACCACGATGACAGTTTTTCAAATGTTCAAGGTTTTGTTTTTTTTCTGTCTCTCGTTGTTGAGACGGCAGCTTCAGAACAGTATTTTAGGCTCCTCCCCTTCATCCTCCGACCTTCAGTGTTGGATGTCTTCAGATTTGCATATCAAGACTCCGCCCACTCTGGAGGATCCGTTTTTGTCTCAGGAAGTTTTTGTGAATCCACAGCACAAACAAACCCACAACTTTTCTGTTTCAGTTTTTAAAAATGATTTTTGATGTTTGGAGGAACATCTTTATATTTGATATTTTAAAATTTGTCTTGTATCCTTGACATTTTTTATTTCAGAGAAATACTGTTTTTTTATAAAAGAGGTTTTGTTTTAAATGTGAATGTGTAAAAATCTTAAACTCCTTTTTGTTTTTGGTTTGTGGGCGGAGGTAAACAGTAAATAATGAATGAATAAAGGTTGTAAAATATTTAAGATTTACTCGTCGGGAAATTAAACTTGATTTAAATGTTGAATTTTTTATCTAAAAGCAAAATGTATAAAATATGACAGAATTGGTCTTTTCAGAACAAATGCAGTGAAAAGTTGAACCAAAGGAAAACAGCCATGGACCGTAAAAACAGCACCACCTTCCGACAATCAGCTGAACTGCGGCTTCTTTTAGTGCTGATGCCGCTGAACATACAGTATGAAATAAAGAATTAATGAGGCTTTTATGGACAACAAGTGTTTCGGCATCAGAAAGAAAACCCATTAACGACCTCTTAACTGTTGAGGTTAAAGGTCAGTGAATCGTTAAATCATTCAGAGTTAAAACCAGTGCATAGCAGAACTTTTGTTCTTGTAAGTTCTCTATTTCACCTCATTTCAATCGTCCTATGCATTTATACATAAATATGTACAGTACATATATAAATACTAAGGGGAGGGGCGCGGTCTCCCCCTGGACAAACTGCACTTCACTCTCACATATTTACACTAACACGTCACGACAATGAACTTTCTGTTTTAATACATTTTACATCCGGGTTTTCATCACTCCGTTTTCCCAGACTTGGAACCGGACCTGGACTTAGAATTTTGTTGGATCCAGTCTTTGGTTGTGAGCTCTGCTGTTCCACGACTGGCTGGTTTCAAGCCACTGATTGGCTGACGGCTCCCTGTGTTGCTTCCGACCAATCAAAGACCAGTCAGAGCAGGAGGTTCAGCGGACCTGACAGAGAGCAGCCAGTGTTGAGTCTCTGCAGCGACAGAAAACGTGAGGAGGTTAGCTAAGGAGAATTTAAACAGATAAAAACCTGCTGCTTTTTTTCAACGCTTTATTTTTGACTCGGAGAAGATTTTACTAATTGTATTTTTTTTATGGATAAAACAGTTTCCTCCGATCTGAGGTGGAATCATCACCGGGAATCATCACCAGGAATTCGAATCAGGATTCATCTAAACAGAGAGAGAAACGTGAAAGTCACTCACAGGTAAAAACAAAAAACCATGAAAACAGTCCGGATCCGGGATCGATGTTGACTTTTATTGGCCGCGGATTGAAAAACGTGTCGCAGTTTTTCCTTCAGATTCAGTGATTTTTGTTGGTGTCTGAGTGAGAGGAGCATCATTTTGATCTTCATCATTGGCAGAATAGTGAGGAGAGCAGTGTCTCCATCATTCCCTGCCTCCTCTGATCAGATGGAAATGAAGAAATATAGGCTCCATCTGTATCTGCTGCAGAGGCGCTGTCTTCATATTATCACATGCATGCGCTCACATGTACACGCAAAGCGGCATGACGAGCGATGTTTCATTTGATTCAAACAAATCCGCTTCCATTTCGTTTCTCAATCACCAGGTTTTTCACTTAGTGTTTTAAACAAAGGGTGAGTATTTGCGTGCGTGCGCGTGCGCGCTCGCCCGCTCCAGTGCTTCGGAAACCACAGGTTACAAAAAACACGGAGGAGAAAAAAAACCCTTAAATTTGACTTTTATTTCAATCTTAATCTCAGTTTTACTGTTAAAGACCAAGACAATAATCCAAAAATGAACCAAGCTGTGTCTCCATGACGACCATTAGACCAGAACGCACTCAGCATACACACACCTTTCATGCCAAGGCAGAAATACTGCAGCTAAGTGCACTGCTGCTTCGCTGTCATTTGTTCTCACACACGTCCAAACAGAAAATCTGCTATTCCATTTCAGCCACACGGCGGCGCCGATAACCATCGCTGAGTTCAAATCATTTTTTTAATATAATGTCCTTTGTTTAGAGTTACCATATTGACAAAAATGACCACAAGAGGCAGCAAAGGACCGACAGCTCATGCGTCATTGTGAGCCGAAATAACTCTAAGGACTGGTCTGTGGTCTAAAATCACTGATTTTCTCCACTGACTTTGGTCTGAACTAAAATCTCTGATTTTCTCCATGGACTTTGGTCTGAACTAAAATCTCTGATTTTCTCCATGGACTTTGGTCTGAACTAAAATCTCTGATTTTCTCCATGGACTTTGGTCTGAACTAAAATCTCTGATTTTCTCCATGGACTTTGGTCTGAACTAAAATCTCTGATTTTCTCCATGGACTTTGGTCTGAACTAAAATCTCTGATTTTCTCCATGGACTTTGGTCTGAACTAAAATCTCTGATTTTCTCCATGGACTTTGGTCTGAACTAAAATCTCTGATTTTCTCCATGGACTTTGGTCTGAACTAAAATCTCTGATTTTCTCCATGGACTTTGGTCTGAACTAAAATCTCTGATTTTCTCCATGGACTTTGGTCTGAACTAAAATCTCTGATTTTCTCCATGGACTTTGGTCTGAACTAAAATCTCTGATTTTCTCCATGGACTTTGGTCTGAACTAAAATCTCTGATTTTCTCCATGGACTTTGGTCTGAACTAAAATCTCTGATTTTCTCCATGGACTTTGGTCTGAACTAAAATCTCTGATTTTCTCCATGGACTTTGGTCTGAACTAAAATCTCTGATTTTCTCCATGGACTTTGGTCTGAACTAAAATCTCTGATTTTCTCCATGGACTTTGGTCTGAACTAAAATCTCTGATTTTCTCCATGGACTTTGGTCTGACAGGAGAGGTTTCCATGGTCTGTCCACAGTACGTCTATCTACACCGTAGTTTTTCTGGATGTGCTCCACCTTGTGGCAGCTAAATGACTGTGTCAGCTTTAGAAAATCACTCAGTTTTCTGTGTGTGTGTGTGTGTTTCATTCTTGGACCTAAGGCCACAGAGAAAAGTCATTGATTTTCTCAGTGACACAGGAACTGCTTTTCTAAAACAGAGAAGCCACAGAAGAACACAGTTGGACTCAGTGATGGAGGCACACACACACACACACACACACACACACACACACAGAGAGAGAGAGACTCACTGACTTCTGTACTTTTTCTTCTTCTGTCACAGAGTCGAGTCCTGCGAACTGAGAGCAAAGGTGAACTTTACTGAAGGTGGTGTCCAATCAGATCTGTAGTCCTGGAACTTCAGACACAATTCTTCTGGATCCTTCTACCAAAGAACAAGAACAACATCTGGATTCAAGAACTTCACACCATCCCCATCCAGAAACCGGACTGTCTTTGTCCAGGAACAATCTTCAATCATCAGAAGTTCCTCAGTTTTCTCCGAAGTTCTATCAGTACCAGAACCGATCTGCCGTGACCTGGAGATGTTCTGATTTCTTGGCCCTGTATCTCATCACTGCAGGAGTTTGACGACTCTTTGAAGCCCCCTGCTGGTGCTGCTGGTACTGTATGTTTCTTTTCCAGGCATGATCCACCAATCGTTTTCCCTTCTTCTTCCAGTTCCTCTGTCATTTCACGTTGCCTCCAGAGGGTGGCACTGTTCTTCCCTGCTGCTGCTGTCGACCCCAGGGAATCTCCTTGCCTTGGTCTCCGAGTCGTTCTTCTGAGTGGAACTTCCAGCCTTCACTGTCTTTACACTGAGCTAAAGCCATAGTGACCACATGACTGGTCACATGACCAGCAGCTGCCATGTTTGATGACCAGGCAGCATAAGCACACACACATACATCAGGGAGTGGCCACTGAGCAGGAGCTGAAACCTTTGACTTGGTTCTTCCTCAGTTCAACGGATGAATCCTGAAACTTTCATGTTCCTGTGGGCGGAGCCTCGCTGTCCCACCAGAACAGGGTCCAAACCCTCCTTTGTTCTCTTCTGTTGGGTCAAACTGAACTCAGAGCAGAGACACACAGGCGAGGAAATCAAACACACTCCAGTTTAGAGTTTGGTTATCCCTGGTACCGATGATTTGTGTTTCTGTGTCTCGCACCAACCTTTAGATGTGAACATCTCTTTAATTCCAGACTTCAGTCTGAGCCTTAGAACGTCATCATCACAGGAAGTCCCACCATCATCACAGGAAGTCCCACCATCATCACAGGAAGTCCCACCATCATCACAGGAAGTCCCACACAGGAAGTCCCACCGGAAGTCCCACCATCATCACAGGAAGTCCCACCATCATCACAGGAAGTCCCACCTTCCTCCTGCTGACGTTTGAATGACAAAAGTGCCAAAGCTCAAACAAAATCACTTCCAGCTCCAAAGTTTACAGAAAATGTTTACAACTTTTTAATTTTCAGTGTAAATTGTCACAACTTCCCTCTGTCTCCTCCTCCTCTGGTTTTTTTTAGGAGGGTTGAGATTCCATGTAGACTTCAGTAAATATTTTTCGGGAAATAATTCACTGCCTGTTTTTAAAGAACTTTTTATCAAAAATCTTCTGCCTGAACCTTTTTATTAACAGCCAATAACAACCCAGTGTTTACGAAAACTGCTGACTGGTACATTCATTGGAGGAGGAGAGACTGGAGCACCTTCACCATATGAAGGACCTTCTGACAGGAAGTCACTCCCCTACACAGGAAAGGATCACAGAACCAGCCTTTTTTTAGCTTTAGACTTATCAGACCTTGGACTCTTCAGACCTTGGACTCTTCAGACCTTGGACTCTTCAGACCTTGGACTCTTCAGACCTTGGACTCTTCAGACCTTGGACTCTTCAGACCTTGGACTCTTCAGACCTTGGACTCTTCAGACCTTGGACTCTTCAGACCTTGGACTCTTCAGACCTTGGACTCTTCAGACCTTGGACTCTTCAGACCTTGGACTCTTCAGACCTTGGACTCTTCAGACCTTGGACTCTTCAGACCTTGGACTCTTCAGACCTTGGACTCTTCAGACCTTGGACTCTTCAGACCTTGGACTCTTCAGACCTTGGACTCTTCAGACCTTGGACTCTTCTGACCTTGGACTCTTCGAACCTTGGACTCTTTAGACCTTGGACTCTTCGGACTTTGGACTCTTCAGACCTTGGACTCTTCAGACCTTGGACTCTTCGAACCTTGGACTCTTCAGACCTTGGACTTGTCTTCGGACCAGTTCTCATCTGATCGTCTGTAGAACGTTGTGCAGCTATGAGGTCAAAGAGAACTCCAAATCCTAGAAGGAGGCGTCGCTGGTCCTTTGCTCTTCTGCTCCT